CCGGCAAGGCTGTGCAGACTCGCTCCACGTGGTCCTGGAGAATGTTCACCCTGCAGCGGGGACTGCAGACGACGTCCCTCGGCGCTCCGCAAGGCCCAGGTGTGCCTGGTTCTTTCCCCGGGCCCTTCGTGGCGCCCAGCGCCTGCGTCATCTGCTCGGAGAAGCCTCAGTGGTTCTCAACCTTCCTAATGCTGCGACCCTTTAATACAGTTCCTCGTGTTGTGGTGACCCCCAACCATCAAATTATTTTCGTTGTTACTTCATAACTGTAATGTTGCTACTGTTATGAATTGTAGTGTAAATATCTGATATGCAGGATGTATTTTCATTGTTCGCGACCCACAGGTTGAGAACCGCTGCAGGTGGAACCCAGGCTGTGGTAGTTTCCTCCTATTCCAGCAAAATGTAAAAAACAGCTTGTAGTCAGTGATCTGTGTCGGAGAGTATGTTAGTATTCTGTTGCTGCATAACAGTCACACCAAAGCTTAACGCCTTAAAACGACAAACGTATTGCCCCACAGGTTCTGCAAGTCGGGAACTGGAGCCTGGCTTGGCTGGGTGGTTCCCTCATGGCCTCTCGGGCGATTACAGTCAGGATGGAGGCCAAGGCTGCAGTTATCTGGTCTTTTTTAAAAAAATATATTTTATTTGTTGATTGATTGATTTTTATTCATTTCAGAGAGAGGAAGGGAAAGGGAGATATAAACATTTGATCGACTGCCTCCTGCATGCCCCCTGGGGGGGGGGGGGGGGGGGGGGGGCAAAGTACCCAGGCATGAGCCCTGACCGGAACCGCGACCTCCTGGTTCATAGGTTGACTCTCAACCACTGAGCCACACCAGTGGGGCCAGTTATCTGAAGTCTTGACCTTGGGCTGGAGATCTGCTTCCAGCGTGGCTTGCTCACATGACTGTTGGCAGGAGGTCAGTTTTACGCTGCACGGACCTCCACATGAGGCCACTTGAGTGCCCCCATGGCCTGGCATCTGGCTTCCGTCAGTGCCAGTGATCCCAGGGAGGCCAAAGCAGAAGCCACGGTGTCTTCTCGTGATCTAGCCTTAAAAGTCAGGCACCAACACTTTTGTCATATTCTATTGATCCCAAACCAACCCTTCAGCGTGGGAAGATCAACCCAAAGGCATGAATACAATCAATAGGCAGGGATCCTTGGGAGCCATGTGGGAGGGTCTGACAATAATGAAGATGAAGATAACCTAGAGGAGGGAGAGAGTATCCCAGTTTCATCCTTGTCTGATAGCCAATGTCCAAATCATAAAACTTGAGTAAAGTTTCTCCCCCTAGGTGGCAGTACTTGTCCACATCCTGGCCTTCATTAAGGAAACCTGTATAGATCACCTTTGTGGCAGACATTGTGCTAGGTGCTGAAGACTCAGATTGAAAAGACGCAGTTTACAGTAGAGTGAATTGACTCTTGTAGTAAAGCATAAAAATTGGGGTTTTTGCCCTAAGCGGTTTGGCTCAGTGGGTAGAGTGTCAGCCTGCAGACTCAAGGGTCTCAGGTTTGAGTCCGGTCAAGGGCATGAACCTTGGTTTCGGGCACATCCCCAGTAGGGAGTGTGCGGGAGGCAGCTGATCGATGTTTCTCACTCATCGATGTTTCTCTCTATCCCTCTCCCTTCCTCTCTGTAAAAAATAGCAATAAAATATATTTTAAAATTGGGGGTTTTTTGTGAAAGAGATCAGAGAAAGTCCTGGGGATTAGGGCACTTAGAGGAGGGTTGCTGTGACAGCAGGGTTCTTTAGTAGCAAGCAATATGGGATTGAGGCAGGGTGGCAGGACCAGGGTAAAGGTCAGTGGGTACCGCCCTGGATAAAAATTAGCCTTGGGCTAAGGAAAAGATTCTAGAATGTATGGGAAGCCATTGGAGAGTTTTAAGCAGGGGTGTCTTTAGCTACCAGGGATCTTAGTTCTGAGCTATAGAAGCTGGCTCTGGGTGACTAAGGGGGAAAGAGCATGTTAAAATGATACTGGATAGCTCAGGGAATTCTGGGGAGGACTGGAGAAGTGGCTCCAGGCTAAGCTTCCAGGAATGAAGCTCAGAACCATGCTGAAGAACTGGCCTGATGAGGAAACTACCATGACTGGGATTGCTGCTGCCACCCACCCCACCCTGGAGGAAACTGCATCACCACTGGGGAATGGCTGCCACCTTCAAATGCCACACACTTTCGCAGCCTCCTGCACCAACAAAGTGCCAAGCTCCCAAAAGAGCCTGTTTTCTCACCTTGCTCACCTCTAAATCAAAGGTTCCTAGGGATATATCTGACTGAGAGAGACCAGGTCCCATGCCTGAGTCCTGGCTGCAAAAAGACTGGAATTTGGGGTCCGAACTCCTTTCCTGGGGAGGCAGAACTCTAAAAAAATATATTGGAATGTCCCCAAATATAGGAAGGCTATTTAAACAATGATAGGAAGCCATGAGTCTGACAGGTGTACACAATAAGGGGCATAGGTCAGATACGAAATGTGAACATGTCACAGCAGATATAATAGACGTATTAGTGGGGGATACATTAGATCAAGGTTTCTCAACCTCGGCGCTACTGGCATTTATTTGAAGCCTCCTACGTCTTTGTTGTGGAGGACAAGCCCATACGTTATAGGATGTTAGCAGCATCCCTAGTCTCTATTCACAAAGGGCCCTTAGAATGCCCCTCCTCCAGTTGTGAGAACCAAAGATATCTCCAAACTTTGCCAAATATCCCCTAGGAAGCAAAATTGCCTCGCAAACCATTGGAGTAGAGACTGGCTCACTTCGTAGGCTCTTTTGGTAACTAAGAGAAGAAAGAAACGAGTGGAATGCCAGTGGGAATGGAGACAGTGGGATGGACAGGAGTAATGTTACAGAGGTAGAAATCATAGAACTTGGAAGATGACTGTATTTGGAGGCTATATGAGGATATAGCTTCAGCGGCTCTAGCAGAGATCTGAAATAATAGTGGCAAATGTAAGTTTATTTCTCTCTGAAATAACATTCTTGGAGAAAGCAGTGCAAGGCTAACATGGTGGCTTTGGAGACCATCCACCACATAACCAGCTCTTAATACAATGTAAACCTCAATAAGTTACTATCTGTAAAAATGAAAAAGTAACAAAGATATATCAGACAGCCTAGCCCAGTGATGGCGAACCTTTTGATCTCGGCATGTCAGCATTTTGAAAAACCCTAACTTAACTCTGGTGCCGTGTCACATATAGAAATTTTTTGATATTTGCAACCATAGTAAAACAAAGATTTATATTTTTGATATTTATTTTATATATTTAAATGCCATTTAACAAAGAAAAATCAACCAAAAAAATGAGTTCGCGTGTCACCTCTGACATGCGTGGCGTAAGTTCGCCATCACTGGCCTAGCCAGTGTTGCTCAGTGGTTGAATGTCGACCTATGAACCAGGAGGTCACAGTTCCATTCCTGGTCAGGGCACATGCCCGGGGCTCGATCCCCAGTGTGGGCGTGCAGGATGCGGCCCATCGGGGATTCTCTTCGTTGATGTTTCTATCTCTCTCCCTTCCTCTCTGAAGTCAATAAAGACCCAGTGCACAGGTAGGGTCCCTGCCTGCCGGGGCCACCCTTCCTCAGCTGCCGGCCGGGGCCTTCCTTCGCTCCTCACCAACCCCTGGTGGTTAGCGCACGTCATAGCAAGCGATCGAACTCCTGGTGGGTCGAACTTCCAAGGGGACACTTTGCATATTAGGCATATATATACATATATAGAGATAGATATAGATATAGATAGATGTATAGATATCAGGCAGGTGTGTTATAAAGATTCGGCAAAATAACAACTTTTATATCAAAACACTAAGGTTGTTATGACAATAACAAAACTAATGCACCAGGGATTCTTATCACAATCCTTTGCCCAGCAGAGTGTAACCACCGGATGGCCGAAGTGATCCAACCAGGGAAGTGCACTAGGGTCCTGAAAGAGAACCAGAGCATTCCCAAGGCACAGCCAGGAATTAAGGTACTCTAGAGGACTACACCCCGACACTTTAGAGCAGGGGTCCTCAAACTTTTTAAACAGGGGGCCAGTTCACTGTCCCTCAGACCGTTGGAGGGCTGGACTATAGTTTAAAAAAAACTATGAACAAATTCCTATGCACACTGCACATATCTTATTTTGAAGTAAAAAAACAAAACGGGAACAAATACAATATTTGTATTTGCATATGGCCCGTGTGGCCCGTCCATAGTTTGAGGACCCCTGCTTTAGAGGTCCGTAAGAATGTTATATACCCCTCTCTCAACCAACTCCCTCGAGATTTTTTTTTTCTTTTTTGCAGGATGTCACCTTAATGTCTGCAAGCAATAGGCACTACAACTTTCAAAGAGTTCAGAAATTTAAATTTCTTTTTTGTAGTATTTCACACAATACTACATGATGTCACTCTTCCGTGGGACTCCATTCATTGGCTCCCTGTAGGCTTTTTTAAGTAAACATTTTATTTTAGAACAGTTTTAGATATACAGAATTATTATGAAGGCCTACATACCACATAGCCAATTTTTCCTATTATTAACATTTTATATCAGGATGGCCCATTTGTCACAATGAATGAGCTAATACGGATACATTTTTATTAACTAAAGTTCACTTCATTCAGACTTCCTTAGTTTTCACTGGATGTCCTTTTCCTGGTCCAGGATCCCATCCAGGACACCACGTTACATTTGGTTGTCATGGCTTCTTAAGCTCCTCTTGTTTGAGACAGTTTCTGAGACTTCCCTTGATTTTAAGGCCTCGACAGTTTTGAGGATCACTGGTCAGGTATTTTGTAGACTGTCCCTCAATTGGGACTTGTCTGATATTTTCTCATGATTTGACTGAGGTGACGTGCTCCTGGGAAGATGACCCTTTATGCTAGAGCACCATTCTTATCACATCACATCGATAGTACATACTTCCAATATGACTTCTCACTGTTGGTGTTAACCCTGATCACTTGGCTTCTTCACTGTAAATTCATTCCTTTCTTCTCCTTTTCATACTGTAGCCATGTACAGCCCACATTTAAAGAGAGGGAGTTATACTCTACTTCCTCAGGGGTGAAGCGTTTACATAAACTATTTTAAATTTCTTCTGCACAAGACGTTTGCCTATTCTCTATTTATTCAATCGTTTGTTTATATCGGTTTGGACTTATTTATTTTATACTTTGGCTTATAATCCAACACTACTTTATCTTGTTGCTCAAATTGTTCCAACTTTGACCATTGGGAGATCTTTCCATTGGCTACTGTGTCCATTAACATCATTGCCGGTTTTTGTGTATTTGATTTGTTCTGTTTCCAAGCACTTTCTGGCATTATAAGATGCTACATTTTGTATATATCTTGCCCCAACCCTAGAATCAGTCATTAGAGCACCATTCTTATCACATCACATCGATAGTACATACTTCCAATATGACTTCTCACTGTTGGTGTTAACCCTGATCACTTGGCTTCTTCACTGTAAATTCACTCCTTTTTTCTCCTTTTCAAAGTGTAGCCATGTACAGCCCACATTTAAAAAGAGGGAGTTATACTCTACTTCCTCAGGGGTGAAGCATTTACATAAACTATTTTTAATTTCTTCTGCACAAGATGTTTGCCTATTCTCTATTTATTCAATCATTTGTTTATATCGGTTTGGACTTATTTATTTTATACTTTGGCTTATAATCCAACACTACTTTATCTTGTTGCTCAAATTGTTCCAACTTTGACCATTGGGAGATCTTTCCATTGGCTACTGTGTCCATTAACATCATTGCCGGTTTTTGTGTATTTGATTTGTTCTGTTTCCAAGCACTTTCTGGCATTATAAGATGCTACATTTTGTATATATCTTGCCCCAACCCTAGAATCAGTCATTTTTCTAAAGAGTCCTAGTTCCTTTCACTGGAGAAGGGTATTAGAAACCAAGATCTGGGTGCTAGGTATGCTCATTGCTATTGGGGTGTTGTTGCTTCCAGGCCTTCTCAGCTGACAGAGCAAGGAGATACATATGTGTATATATGCATACACATACATAGTCAATTTGCATGCCTTTGCACATGCCAGTCCTTCTATCTGGAATATCTTTCCTTCCCTTCTTCCAATCAGAATGTGTTTCTCTTTCTTTTTGCTCCAGGAGCACTGGGAACACACTTCTCGGTGTTACCTGTCACATCACAGTGCAGTTATTAGTACACCAGGCTTTCTCTCATATGAGCTTCTCAATGGGAAAGGGCAGGTCTTCTCTATCTTCAACAACCCTCAACCTCCATGTCCAGTGTAAGGATGGTGAAGCAAGATTTAAAATGAAGTATTCAAGCTTGTCTCTGAGTTCTTACTATCTCTATTTGGAAAAGTAAGATCCTCACTCTGTCTCTACCAGGGCAAGTCAGGTTGGCCTTAGTTTGGGTGTTTTCTTACAGATCCAGTTTACTTACCTGAATCTTGAGCTTTTATCTACTTACCAACAGCTCTCACACGTTAGTCTCAGAATTGCCCAGAGATTGCGGAGTCCCAGCCCGAGTCTCTCATTGAAGAGAGCCTCTCCTTGAACAGGTCTGGAGAGGGGCTTCAGAATTTGCATTTCTAATGATTGTCAGGCGAGGCTACTCTGGAAGCACACGCTGGGAACCATTGGGCTATACCATGTGGTCTTACTGAGGTTGTTTGGGATTTTTTTTTTAATTTATGAAAAGACTTTGAGGTTTTAGATTTATAGAATTATTATGAAGACTTTGATTATAAGCCAAAGTATAGAATAAATATCTGTAAGTCCAAACTGATTTAAACAAGTGATTGAATAAAGAATAGGCAAATCTCCTTAGTAGAAGAAATTTAAAAAGTTTGTAGATATTGTGCTTGGTGAGAATTTGAAATGGGCCTTTAAAAAATGTTGTGGGTTGAAATTAGAACCATGCAAGTTAAAAAAAAAATCTGCTTAAGTTGTTGAAATGATTAAAATCCTGTCCATGGACCAAATGAAGATGTCTGAAACCTATTGGGAGGAAGAAATAAAAATATTATTGGAAAGAAAATTAGAAAGAGGCAGACAGGAGACAAGGATGAAGTCAGAGGGAGCGTTCAGATTTTCACAGTTTGATCTGTAACTTGGTACTGTTGGAATCTTTTACCAAGAGAATGTATTCATATATTTATTGGGTAATTAAGAAAAATATTTTTTAAATGTTAGAAGAATGTCATTTTCTACTGCAAAGTCTAGATAGAATACTTTAATATACATTCTGCTGGCGTGTTTCAGTGGTTGAGAGTTGACCTATGAACCAGGAGCTCACGGTTCGATTCCCAGTCAGGGCACACATGCCCAGATTGCAGGCTCTATCCCCATTGTGGGGTGTGTAGGAGGCATCCATCCGATCAATGATTCTCTCTCATCATTGATGTTTCTATCTCTTTCTTCCTCTCCCTTCCTCTCTGAAATCAATAAAAATATATTATAAAACATACACACACACACACACACACACATTGTAGTTTCCTTGGTTCTTAGCTGAGGCCTGTCAAGGGACCTTTGCCATAGTCACAACTCAGGTAGGAGAAGGTGGTGCTGCTTAGCATCAGCGTAGAGACCAGGGATGCTGCTAAACATCCTACGAAGCACAGGATAGCCCCCTACATCAAAGTATTACATGGTCCAATATTGAATGTCAACTGCAATTGAAAAAAAAGTGTTTCATAGAAAAAGTATTCTTAAAAAAACAGAAAAAATAATTCTGTGGCCCAAAGTGTCATTAATGCCAAGGTAGACAAATTCTTATTTGTTTGAGTTGGGCTCACATCAGTGGTTCTCAGACATGTCAGAGTTGTATCACACTATCTTATTTGCTTGATTTCACAATACCCTCCATTTCTCACAAAAGCCATGTGTGCCCTGACTGGTGGTGTGGCTCAATTGGAGCGTCTCCATGCACCAAAAGGTCACCAATTCGATTCCCAGTTAGGGCACATACCTAGGTTGTGGGTTTGATCCCTGGTCAGAGCATGTATGGAAGGCAGCTGATCAATGTGTCTCTCTCGTGTTGATCTCTCTCTCTCTCTCTCTCTCTCTCTCTCTCCCTCCCCCCCTTTTTCCCTCTCTAAAATCAATAAAATTAAATAAAAATTAAAAGTCATATGTATATGCATTTAAAATTTAGCATGAATTTAAGTTCACTTTGAACTGCAAATAATAAAATGTAACTCCCTTTTAGATAACTGATAATAAGTGGAGGTAAGCAGGCAAGTGGGTGTGTTTATTTATCAAAACCAGTAGGGAGTCACTGCTGTAAATCATTCCAGAGTGAGACTGGTGGGTGGGAGAAGCCACGTTCCGACTCAGTCATCGGTGTCCACCCAGAAACATCATCACACAGACTTCAAGGGAGTGTGGCCTGGAACAGAACTGGGAAGAGACGGGGAGATGCTGCCGGGTGGTAGGGTGATTCTGCCAGATGTCTCCCTGGCCCTTCTGGATGAACTGCAGAGTCACTTGTCTCTTTCATGAGGCACATAAACTCCAGGCAGCTTCCTCTAGTCAGGAATAAACCAGCAATTTCAAACTAGCAATTACACTGATTCGATTAGCAGCTTGAAAAACCAGATGTGTTGCCTGGCAACAGCATCCTTCTCTCTCCTCACCTTCCACATCCCCTAGACTTCGGATTGCCCTTTAGTGACCTTCCTAAAAAGGCTGCTTAGCATAGTGGCTAAGAGTGACTTCCAGAAGCAGCACACCTACCCACCTGGGCCCTGAACCCTGGCTCTGTAACTTACTGTCTGAGATGCCTAACCTCTTGGTTTCCTCATCTGTAAAATGGAGATAATATTCGTACCTTACACAGTCTTGGTGGAAATTTAAAGAGTTCATATATAGATAGTGCCCAGGACATAACAAAAATGTTACCTCTTATTTTCTTCTACCCCTTCTCTCCCTCTTCAGGGGTCCCATTTAACCAGATTTTGCCAACAAAAAATGTTGGGGGCAGGGCA